AATTAATATAATATTGTGTATAAAATTTAATGAACCCAAAAAAAGAATTAACGTATTTATTATGAAAAAATGGATTAAAAAAGGAAACTAAATAACCAATAAAAAGACACTATTTTGACATGTAGGAGAGATAAAATTTAAAAATTAATTATGTGAAATCAATTACATAATAATATGGTGATTATGGTAAGTGGGGTTATTTTGAAATTAATAATAAAATGTGGACTCAATCTCCTCAATTAGAAAACTTTGATTGTGTATCTTAGTTTTATATATAATATAGATAACTGATTTTAACAAATTTAGTAGAAAATCTAATCTAAGAAACCGAACATGCTACTAACTAAATAATTAATTAGTCAGTAGGGAGTTAATCAAATCTCATGTTATCCAATCTAATCCAATATAGGTAACCGAATGAGAGAATATACATAATTATTGATTAAAAAAAAATATTGTATTATTAATTATAATGTACTAACGAAACATATAAATTGTTCTATATTTGCAAGGAATTAAAAATACAAAAAACGTATTTATAATTGTAATGCACTAACAAATCATATATTATTCAAATTTTATTTGGATATTGCAAAATGTTCTCACAGAAAAAAAAAAAAATAAATTATTCAAATAAACTAAAATTTTAGAAATTATTCAAATGTATATTTAAATTACAAATTCACATAACTATTTAAATTAAACATTTAAATAAAATAATACAAAAAAAAAAGTCCCGAAAAATATTTATCATAACAATATTACAATATATTTATAATAAATAATCATTTTTGAACAAGTTTTTTAATTTTGATTTTCCAATAAATTCGGAAGAAAATAAAAACTGATGGGAGCTTAAATCAAGTATATATGAAACTTCAACATCAAAACAAGTAAATACACCAACAGAATTCCTCTATAATAACATACATATATAAAATGTAGTTCTTTTCTTGATACAATAACAACAAGTTTGCTGTTCGAGTTCAAAACGATAATCCATAAACCATGACTCGAAGAAAATCACCCTATTATTTTTGCTAATTGCTCCGATCGAGTATATATCAAGCACTAAACCTAAGGGTCAATAGGACGAAATGAAAGGTTTCTATATAAAAGTCGTATTCGGTTGTGAAAACAAGATACTGCAGCACCAGAAAATCTATAATATCATGTACCCAAAAAAAAAAGAAAAAAAAACCCTGTCAATTATATATCCTTTCTTATAGATTTTTTTAATTATATATGCATAGTTTTATATTCATAATTATTTTTATATATACATATGAGTATTATTTGTCGTTCTTTCTTTTGGGTTGTTAATTTTAATATGTTTTTTTTTTATTTTTTTTCATGCTGTTTATTATACAAAGTCGTTCGTACTTTATGGCGATCAAAACAGTTGTTTGCGCTCAGTCCAAACTATGTGTTCTTTGCAACGCGTATTTTGACCATAATTTCGATCCATGTATGTGCGTCGCATGTATGGAATCAATCAAAGTCATTCAATGCTCTGGATCTTGCATTGTATGTGGGATGACTGAAATGGAAGATTTCAAATATTTCTTTTCACTAGGCCAAAACGCAAGACTGGCGACGAAAATTCGCGACGAATTTTATCTCCTAGCGACGTTTTATCACGGTTAGCGACGTTTTTGTTTCGTCGCCAAATCAGTCCAAAATCGACGCAAAATGCCCCGTCGCAAAGTCAGTGACGAAAATACAATTGCGTCGCCAAGTTTGGCGACGAAAAAAACATTTTGTCGCTAAAACCGTATTTTCTGAAAAAGATATTTATTTATTTTTCGCGACGGATAATACATATTCGTCGCACGTTGTTGCTACGAAATTTCATATTTGGTCGCAAGTTCATTGAATCTTTTGGCGACTAAATAGTTTTTTCGTCGCCCGGCTTTAATTAATTTGGCGACGTTAACGGAATTATATTTCGTCTCAAGTACTCATTTTTGTTTGTGACGATTTTTTTTCGTCGCAAACATTTTTTTTTTAATTAGTTTATTTATTTTAATTATTTTCTATTACAAAATAAAATCAGCTGTTAAAAAAAATAAAAAAAAAAAACCAAAACCATATTTACTCAAAAATATTAAAAACCACGATTACCAATTAAATATCAAAATACAACACCAACATCAATTCAAAAATTACATAAAAACTTGAAACCATAAATGTATTAGTTGAAGAGGCACACTAATTTCATCCCGTGTTCATACTCCACTATTAAAACGGTCGAGCAAGGTGTTCAAAATACCTCGGGTTTCTTGCAATTGCTCTTCTAATCGATCAACTTTTGCATCTTTAACTTTATTTTGTTCTTGCATTGTTTCTCGGGTTTCCTGCAATTGTTGTAAGGACTCAATTTAACTTAATTGAAACTTAATGACTCAATTGAACTTTTGAAACTTACCCAAACTAGAAATTGATTGAAATGAAGCTCTGGTTCTTCTTCTCTTCCATGGGAGTTTCTCCCCCACTATTTTTTTCTTGACTAACAATACCCTTTGAAGGGTAACCTCTGCCCATGTGCATCAAAATTTATGGAGACAAATGGAAATAAAGAAGGGGCCCAGCGGCGACGGGAGGCCATAAGAAGTGGTCTTTTTTTTACCAAGACCACTTAATGAGAAAAATACATTTATCAATTCCCCTGCAAGTCCGAGTACAAAAACTTAAACCCAATATAAAACATCAAGAATATACTGCAAGAACATATATAACACAAGATTAGCAATAGATAAGACGAATTAATCTGCAAGTGTGGGCAACAATTATACCTAGAAATTGGGAAGGGTCACAATTATTAAAATCACAATTATTCTATCAAGTCAAAGTTACATTCATAAACTAAAACTAAATTAAGGTAGTAGTCGCAACGAGAAAGCTTTTCAATTTTTAATTGACATCAATTTTCAATTTTCAACGGGAAAGCTTTCAATTTTTAATTGACATCAATTTTTAATTTTCAACGGGAAAGCTTTCAATTTTTAAAGTTGTGTTTGAATTTAATTTGAATTTTGTAAGCCTATCATACTTTAACTAAATCGGACACAAACTATAGCACAAATCAGAGCTGCTGTCGATTATTTTTTTTTTACAGTTTAACATTTTCTTCTAATCGAACACAAATACGAGTTTGAGCCAAGTATATAAGCATTTCTAGAACACATATACGAGTTTAAGTTTATTTCGTACTGTTAACAATGAGTTTCAATAATCGTTCGAAAGTCAGTAGTTTAATTTTTTCTTGAATTATCGAATGTTATGGAATATAACATTCGATAATTAAGGATTAGTAAACAGTATATATCTTGTTCGTCCCACGACGAAACTCATTTCAAATTCTTAAACGACATTTAGAAAAATCCGTTATTTTTAAGGTTTCGACATGGTTTAGTATAAGAGATAACATTAACTCTTGAAATTAACAATCACAAATCTAACAACAGTTGATTGACAAAAAACAAAAATGAAGCCGCTTTCTCAAACCCCAAAATTGGAGACAACAGATATACCAGATCATAAACAAACACATACGCATTTCTTCAAGGGACTAAACAAACGGTTCATCATAGATTTAAGTTCATGCGAAGGGTAAAAAAAAGGATTTGCGTACCTGCTTGGCCTTGTAGCCGAGGCGGCGGGCCTTGTCGGGGCGAGTGGGGTGGGTGACACGTACAACAGCGGGAAGCTGACGGTACTCCCAACAGCGAACCCTAAGCAAAAACCGCATCACATCGGATTGCTTCTTCTTCCATAGCTCAGAAACGTAAGTGTAGGCACCTGCAAATTAGAAAATGGAATCAAACTCCTGAAGAAAAAAAGAGGGGAATTAGGGTTCGGAGGAAGAAGAAAGTAATACCCACCACTCAATCCGAAACCTTAAAAATAACGGATTTTTCTAAATGTCGTTTACGAATATATTTATCAATTGAGGAAGCACACTTAGCTTTGAGGTAATTAAGGATATATTTTGACAAAAAAAAAAAAAGAAAAAAAAACCTTCAATATAAACTTAGCAGCAAACAAAATTACCAATATAATTCTGGACGGAAGAGGGCGGACGGAGGACGGCTGGCGGCAGAGGTCTGGCTGCGGCGGAGAGGGCTGACGGTGACGGCGACGGCGGCAAGGGCTGGCGGGAGACTTCTGCGGCGGAGGGCTTACGGGATCGGCAACGATTAGGGTTCACGGAGGAGGGCTAACGCCGGTGGGCTGACGGGGAACGGCGGGCAGCGGACGGCAGGCAGCGGGCGGCGGACAGCAGGCGGCGGTGGGCTGATCGGAGAAGGAGAGAGAGAGAGAGAGAGAAATTTTAGAGAGAGACAGCAAAGTGTACGAATTAGGGTCTGTGCAGAATAATTAATCTAAAATTTGCGACGTTTCTAAATTAAAGTCGCACGATAATATTTATTTAAAAGGAACCCTAGCGACGTATACAGGTTTACGTCGCCACCAAATTCAGGAAAAAACAAAATTGAAAATATCTATTGCGACGGTTTCCCAGATCCGTCGCAAACAAAGATATATATATTTTTTTTAATAAAATCATGGCGACGTTTCTTCAAATTCCGTCGCCATATATTAATTATTATTAAATAATTGGGCATTACTAGCGACGTTTCAACATAACCGTCGCAACATATATTATTTTTCTTTTTTTAAAAGAACTATGGCGACGTATTATACGTTTTCGTCGCGAGTTTTCAAATATAAAATTGCAAAATATGTAAATCGTGCGACGAAAGTCCTATTTCGTCGCAACAAATTTTTTTTTTTTTTTTTTAATACGTGCGACGTTTTCATATGTTGCGTCGCTACCTAGAGACGATTATACAAATCGTCGCTAGGGTTTTTAACAAAAGCGGGGTTTTCCACAAAAAGCGACGATTTTAACTCATAAACGTCGCAAACATGCTACGAAAATAAAACCGTCGCTAAAAAAAACGTCGCCAGTCTTGCATTTTGGCCTAGTGTTTGTTGTGGTTTATGCGATGAGGCTTTTATACACGAACGATGTATTCCTGCAAATCAGTGTTGGACCAATGGATCCATATGGAGGTGTGATTCATGTGATTGGTTATTTAATATGTGTATGTACCAAACCTTTGCAATTCAAGAAAATCTCAATATTTATGATGCTGAAGGGATGGACAATGGCTCGATATGTTATTTTACAAAAATAATTACGCGTTATGATCTACACAAAAGTTGAATTCCACACCTAATTGATTGACATTTATCAATTTCAAATGATGACATGTCCTTAATTTCATCCCATGTGTCCATTTGATTGGTTAAAAAAATTATCAAAAAACATGTCATTATTTTGTATAATTATACATGTCATTTACTATCATTATTAACTTTATATATAATATTAATTTGTTTATATAGTACTTACCAATCAAACTATACATACTTTGGTATTGAAGAAAGAAAAATAATATTTGTGATATTTTTTTGGTTTTGATTTTCATTAAGGGTATTAAAGTAATTTTCTAGTAATTATTTTTTTTTTATTTTTTTTTGTATTCAACTAAGCAAAAGTTGGGATTTGTTATAGTGATCCCCTATTTCAATAAATGCATTTTCACCTCTTTTCTCTTCATAAAATATGCAAATCGTGAATTTTTTGTCCACTAAATAATATAATTTCCCTAGTCCCCTCAACTATGATCTTCAAGTACATCCGGCAAAAAACGAATTGGATCATCAATTGTTCATCAATCAAAGTTTTAACCGAATAAATGATGGTGAGTAGCGAAGTATATGGTGGGACCAGTGAACACCTGCATTTTTTAGGGTAAAAAATGGATTATTGATCAACAAATTTGGATCATTGAACAACAAAGAGAAATCGTAGAATCATGCACAAAAGAGTAAGTCAGTGTTTACGGATTATAATAATAAGTTTCCAAGCATTCCTATAGAATTTGAAATTTGAAAGGGTTCGATGACGACTCCTTTTGGAGCAGTGTTGTGAGATGCCGCGTGGCGTATGCGGTGAGGATAGTGAGTCTTTACAGCGGTGGAAGCTACTATTTCCATCGTTTTATTTTATATGGTTTTTTTGGAGTGGGTATATTTGACAAATATGTAAAATGAGCTAATAGCACATGCCCCATGTGTTATTTATAACGCGCGTGACTATGTGAAATTTGATTTTACACAGGCGGGACTCACCTTTTTTACGAATAGAACAAGTGATCCCGAAGATCCTGGCTACCACTCGTCGACCGATGTTAGAATCCATCATTCCGACTTCACTTTGTATGAGCTGCCCCAGCCCGGTGAATCATATTCTATTGGTATGCATCTCGACCGGTTGAAGAGGTTTGCATATCTACTTTACCCCACTGACACTTTCCAGATCCAAGCCAACGGACCCTATCGCTCTGAACGAACTTACAAGATCATGGCCGATACTGATATGCTCCTTTTTTTAGCAATTAATTTAATTTATTTTCAGTGTTAAAAAATCGTTTATGGTGCTCCTACAGAAATACTTGCACACTTGCTCAATCCAATTAGCATATAAGATATTTACCATTTTCGTACCCTCCAAAATTACAGCCCAGTTTTTTTTTAATAGGCCTACTGTCCATTTTTTTCATTATCCATTTGGAGAAGTCAAAGTGAAGCCATTAATTTATTTGATGAAGCTTGTTAGTGAAAACGATCTGTGAAACCAAAAGAAATAAATTGGATAGTATATGCTTTGGGAAACCAAAAATAAATAAAAAATTATTGTACAATTAATACAATAGATGAAATGAGAGAGAATTTTGAGAGGGTTTAGGTGTATTCAGTGTATAACTTTGAGAGAATTTGTCAGGTCGTGGAACTCCTGTTTTGTATCCTGAGCACAATCATGAAATTTAGTCGACCCCTTATATAATGGAAGCCCCTCGTGTGTGTGATGCTAAAATCACAATGCCAGCTCATGTGTTTGCAAGAATATGTAACCATCTTGGCGATAATTTTCCTCGAGGTAATTAACGGTGTTTTGTAATTATATAACATTTTGTGTTATAAACACGTAAAATTAACTTCATTGATGGTTTGTAGTTGTGTTATCTATTACCATGGAAGGAATGACGATCTCAGCGAATGAAACATATATTGTTTAGAACTCTATGGAGCAGGTTGTTTTTTCTCTTCATCTATACTTTATATAAAAGTGTGAATGCTAGGTGGTTTTTTCCATTTTATGTATGGACAAAAATACCCCATAAAATAATTAAAATTTCAAGGTCAATTAAGTAAAATAGATAATAATTAAATAGTTCATTAATGCATGTTAAATACAATAATTAATAATATCTGATTCATTGAAAAACTGTAATCACAACAGCTTAAATCTGTCGGCAATCGTTGGTTGAACCAACACTCGATTTGTGAAATTGCATTTTAGAATCATAATCAAACTCTTAACTTGGGTTGGTTAATGGTCTAGGATTTTTTAATTGTGAACCCCGGTCGATTCTGAATCGTGAACCGTTGGTTCACGACAATAATTAAGTCTCCATTTAATTTTTCATTTATGTTTAATTTTTCAATAATATTCATTTGTGCCTTGTACTAAATAAAAAAAAAATTATAATCCAACTCTTAATATTATGATTGGTTAATGGTCTTGTACTTTTGAATTGTGAACCCTGGTCGATTCTCACTCGTGAACCATGGATTCACGACAATGATCATGTCTCCATCCAATTTTTCATTTATGTTTAATTTTTCATTAATATTTATTTGTCATTTGTTCTAAAAATGAAAAAAAAATAATAAACAATCAAGAGTAAATGAGACAACTCGAAATGAAAGTAATTACATGATCGAAAATATTCTAATTAAAAAGAAAAAAAAATCACTACACATATGATATTCAAGACGATGATAGTAATTACTGGAATAACCTAAGAAAAAATAGATATTGTAACATAAATACATAGTATATATATATCAATATTAAATAAAATCACATTCTATTATTTCAATATATTTAATATATATATATAAATTAATAGAGACGTGCAACGCACGTCACACCTTTCTAGTATTTCTAATATTTGGAATGTGTTGGTGAATTTATAATATTTATCTTCGGTTGTTTGTATGCAGCCGGAAGATGCAGTTGTTGTAGCAGTCGATCAGCCGGTATCTGTGGCCTACGATGTCGCAATTCTGCGCCTTGCCGCACCGACATCTCCACTCTTCGCCGATGTAGTCATAGACATGTTTGTAGATTTCCCATTGAAGGTCGAGTATAAAATTTTAACGCGTAGCTTCATAACGTTCTGGGTCGCCCCATTCCACCTGATGTGAGAGAAACTGTTTCCACTAAAAACAACTATTCTAGATTTAAATATCCACTAGGCTGACTTGTGAGCAGCTGTTTCCACTAAAAACTTCTATTCTATATTGAAATATCCACTAGGCTGACTTGTGACTCGTTTTGTCTATTAATGGCCCCAACTTAAATTTATATAAATTTTCATTAGACTTTGTACTCGTGCTTATTTGGCTTAAATTCATATAAATTTTCATTACACTTTGTACGGAATCATTAGTTGATAATGTATCACGCAAATCTATAAAGGTTAACATATTCGTGTTATTAAATAAGTACGATGCATGCCGATAGTTTTGTTGTTGATAGATACAATTCTAGTTGATTGGTAAAAAAATTCTAGTTGGTCGGTAAAAATGTCGAAAACGACTTGGGAGTTCTTGTTAGTGGGTTTCTAGGTTTTGCATTGTAAATAGGCTGCTAGGAGTTTTGAGAACAACAAGCAAAAAAATATTGACATAAAACACACTCAACATACAATCAAGAAATTATTAAAATATTACAATATTGTATTTTATTGAAGTTTACTAATAAAAAATAATTATGTGATATTAATTCTGTTTTGAAGATAATTATATTAATAAGTTTAAGTTTGATTATTAATTATAACTACAATTTCAACTTATTATATTAATTAATTTAGTCAAATGATATCAATTTTTTTTTCTGAAATGATACTAAATTGAAGATGTTTTTTTTTTTCACTATATCTATTATAATATGTTTGTCAAATATAATTGTAAAAATATGTGGTTTAAATTTAAATTGAAATTATAATATTAAAGCAATAAAATATAATGGTTATGTAAAATATAAACAATGTTGTTGGAGTGAATGTCAAAAGTGGTGTTTTAAAACATTGTTCATTTATCATATTATAATTTATAGATATAAACAATTAATTTTGAACAATCTCTTGGAGATGGCCTTATCAGTTGAATATTTGAATTAATTAAGGTTAAATCATAAATGTGAAGGTGATGGATATAAGACTACGCTGTTTGCGTAGTTAGATTTATTAATCGATTTTTCGAGCTTTAATAATTTCGTTTCGACCTCAAATGTGATTCTGATCATTTTTTATTCCAAATTTTGCAAAACCGGAAAAATAGGATTTATAGTATTACGAGTTAGTTTTCTAATCTAACTTGAATCACCAAAATTGAATGTCGGACGAGAAATATATACATGAATAAATAGATATTGCCCACAACTTTGATGTATTGAGGTAACTAAAATTCAAAACGCGACTCATTCATGCACAACTTTGTCACACGACATCCAATCTAGCGGATTTAAGTTGAATTAGAAAACTAACCCGAAGGACTACGGTTTTCGAGTTTCTAATTTTGCCAAAATCTGTTGGGTAACGGGCACGTGTACGCAGCGGAAAACAAAAATTTTATGCGAATTAAACAACTTTAAAACACATAAACACATGCCCGATAATTGAAAACAATTAATTGCGTACCTTTGCGCTTCCAGCGAAATTAAAACAACATACATTGCGTACCTTTGCGCTTCCAGCGAAATTAAAACAACAACATGATTAATTACTTAATTGAAATTAAATCAATTAGCATGCTCGCGTTTAAATCAAATAATCATGCTCGCAATAATAAAACCAATTTCATGTAGTCACATAAAATCATACAAGTTTCTTATTAAAACGAACATGCATATATTAATTTAAACGTAACCGAATCGAATGACAATAGATTCGAAACATTACCTCTTGGAGCGTGAGGTAGGCGCACTAAGCAAAGCTATATTGCCACGGAAACCAATCCGTGCAATCCGGGGCAGCAACGGCAATGATCCGAGCTACGGCGGCGCATGTGATTCACACGCAGAGAAGATTGCTAGCTGCTCTTCCCACTCCTATTGATCCAACCTGTTTGCTGATCTGAAATTACAGCCTTGCTCCGACTTCAGTATCTCCATGCGTATTTACTGGATGAACAATTCCTCCTGGACGATGGTAGATTTATGAGTCGTGAAGCTGCTGTCAAAATTTCACGTCCATCGGATGACCGGTTGATTTATGGAGAATTTTCTCGGTGGGCAGCGCAGAAAATCCGAGAGCAGTTTTTCGGAATTGCCTTCTCGCATCTTCGATTTTTCGATCTTCCTCCTCTTGGATTTCACCTCGTATACTTCGATCTACTAAACACGTGGCACTAGACACGTAATAGTCAGAATAACGGAAGAAAAGAAAGAAGGAAAGGAATACCGAAAGAGATCGGCCAACGGGTGGCCGATTCCGGCGAATTTCCGGCGACGGCGCGGTGGTGGTGGCCGTGGGAGAGGGTGGCTGATCGAGAGAGGCAGCGGCTAGGGTTATGAACGTGTGTTCTCTTAGTTGTGTGTGTGCAAGACCTATAAATCAAGTATTTATATGTCTTGCATAAAACCCTAACGGGCTTAAGTTGGACCGGGCCCAACAGCTTAAGCTCGTTAGTTCTTTTACTCGCTCGTCTCTCTCAATTCAATGATCGGAAAATTGGAACAATTACATTTTCGGAATCATTATAATATCCTCGTCATTACGAGTGTCAACTCTCATTTTCCAACTTTCCAAAAGTGGAAACCCTAGTTCAGTGCACTTTCTAAATTTGAAAACTTCCCGATTTAGAAAGTTCACTAACACGTTCGCCTATTCTTTTCCTTTTCTTATTCTCATTCATAATTCCAAATTACGAATGTTTATTCAAAGATCTCATGTACACGAGCAGTGTGACCCTCGATGGTTCAGGTGTAAGCTAGCCGTGGGCCCACAACCCTTTGTGGTCAAAACTCGTCCCCTTAGAGTTAAGATTAAGATGAAACTCATTTCACCTTAATCACCCAACGAATCAAGATTGGCGTCTAGCAACTACGCGTCATGATTCCCTAGATACAAATGAAGTGCCTGCAAGAACCTTTAGATATAGTTAACGTACAGTACGGTCCCTTCGATACATATGTCCCGATCGAACTAGAGGCATTGGTTCATCGTGTTGGGTTTCGGGCACGCATACGCAGCGGAAAACAAAAATTTATGCGATTTAAACGACTTTAAAACACATAAGAACATGCCCGATAAATTAAATTCAATTAATTGCGTACCTTTGCGCTTCCAGCGAAAATAAAACAACATACATGCTAATAAATTTAACCGTACTTAAATCAATTAACATGCTCGCAATTTAAACCAAATAACATGCTTGCAATGATTAAAACCGATTACACATAATCACATAAAATCATACAAATACAAGCATGAAATCATAGTTTAAACTAAACCCTAAACGAAACTAGGGTTTCGTATATTTACCTCTTGACGCGTGAGGTAGGAGCGATTAGCACTTCGTGATTACTACGGAAACCAATCCGTAGAATCGGGGGCAGCAGCGGTGCAACGGCAGCAGCGGCGCGTGAGGTCACGGCGGCGCGTGTAGCGTACGCGCGACTTCGGGACGGCGCGTGGGGCAGCGTGCGGCTTCGGCTCGTGCGTTGCTCCTCGATTCTTTGATCTACAGTCTTCCTCCTCTCGGATTTCACCTCGTATACTTCGATCTACTAAATCGTGGCACTAGACACGAAGTAGTTAGAATAAAACGGAAGAAAAAGAAAGGAGAAAGAATACCGAATCAAGGAACGGCCGACGAACGGCCGGTTCCGGCGACGGAGCGGCGACGGTGGTGCGGTGGTGGCCGCGCGGGAGAGAGGGCGAGAGAGAGAGTGTCGGCCGCTTTAGGGTTAGGGTTTCATGTGTTTGTGTAAGGGCTATAAGTCATGTATTTATAGTCCTTTGCATATAACCCTAGCGGGCTTAAGTTGGACTGGGCCCAACAGCTTAAGCTCGTTAGTTCCTCTACTTGCTCGTATCTCTCAATTCAATGACCGAAAAATTGCAACGATTACATTTTCGGAATCATTATAACTTCCTCGTCATTACGAGTGCCATCTCTTGTTTTCCAACTTTCCAAAAGTGGAAACCCTAGTTCAGTGGACTTTCTAAATTTGGAAACTTCTCGATTTAGAAAGTTCACTAACATGTTCGCCTATTCTTTTCCTTTTCTTATTCTCATTCGTAATTCCAAATTACGAATGTTGGATTCAATCATATTGACTTCCAATCATGCAAAGATAAACTATTTTATCTCTGACCGTTTATTCAAAGATCTCATGTGCACGAGCAGTGTGACCCTCGATGGTTCAGGTGTAAGCTAGCCGTGGGCCCACAACCCATTGTGGTCAAAACTCGTCCCCTTCGAGTTACGATTAAGATGAAGCTCGTTTCACCTTAATCACCCAACGAATCAAGATTGGCGTCTAGCAACTACGCGTCATGATTCCCTAGATACAAATGAAGTGCCTGCAAGAACCTTCAGATATAGTTAACGTACAGTACGGTCCCTTCGATACATATGTCCCGAT